AGGTTTTCCATTCATTATTTACTTTTGTAGTTCTACACTTTGAGAAATTACCTTTGTTTTCAGCTTTGACAGAAAGCAACAAAGAACACATCCCATTCAATGCACATCTGGCACACCACAAAACAAAGTTAATCAGAAAGGTTTCTGGTTTAAAACCCAGACTCCAGTAACATTTCATGCTTTCAGGTGTTCCAAGCAGGGCTCAAATACATGTACGTGTTTTCCTCAAAAGTGTAGCTTTTATTTTGCTTTCTATTTGTTCACATGCTTTGGGGTCTTTTCCTGTTTTTAGAGTTGGGAAAGTGGGAAAGAACAGGCCTACTAAAAAACAGCTAATTAAGAAAATAATTGGCATTATCCATTAAATTTTGCATAAACACTGAGAATCTGAGACTTCAGTTATTTCTATTCCAGTGTTACGTATTTCAGCTACCAAATAAAGCTTTGCCATGTCATAAGTATTTCACTGATAGAGATCTCCAGTGTGTGGGGGAAGGCAGATACAGGAGAGACAAAGGCCTTCTGCTTACACAACACACTGAGCCACCACACTTCAGAAACTCCTGTTAGCACAGCTGTGCTGGTTAGGAAGAATAAAAATTCCGCCAGGCCAGCGAAGTTAAGTTCTTGCTCATTGAGCCTCCTGCTCTTGTATGAGGTGAAGGCAGCAAGGCAAGGAAAAGCTCATACAGGACACATCCTTGTGTTGATAGAAGCTGCACTTCAACCTAGGAAAAAGCACACTACTTGACCTACAACACTTCTGGAGACCCAGACATACCACTGCATAGGAAGATTACACATGTCAGTCTAGTTTAAAAAGCTCTAACAAGATAATACCTTTCAGAAGGCTGGTAAATGCCAAATTAGATTTCTTCTTCTCCCCCTCCCTGCCAATAAAATAACTTCAGTTATGCACCAAATATAATGCTGGCAGTGCAAACAACTGCACATTACCACACAACAAAACTATGTTCCAAAACATAACACCCTACAGGAAGAAAGATTTGGAAACAGTTTCTTTATGTAAGCAAGTTTAGCTTTGTTTAGTAATCCTGCACTCCTGATGTCAATATTACTCATTAATCTCTGTAGGTTAAAAGAATTTTATACTGCCAGAGTACTGATTTCAAAGGCAGTTTGGGTCTAGAAGTTATAGCGGTTTCATAAGCAGAGTGAAGCCAGCTAACAAAGACATTGTTCTACACACAATCAGCTCATGTATCTCTGTATCGTATTAACAGAAGCAGCAATGTACTCCAAGGACACCTGACTGCACAGCCCGTGCTGTCAGCACTCATCAGCTCCAGCTTAGGACTGCTCCTTCCACTCCAGGGTTTCTGGGCCACATTCCACAGTAAAGGAGATTCTAGGGAAGCATTCTGCTCTGGCCTAACACCAGCTCTGAACCAGACTCAGACTGCTGTCAGTTCTGCAAGAGTGCAGGAAACAGGGACTTGCACAGGTGCTATTGAGAGTCAGGAAAATTGGCATCAAACCAAAATTCAGCACTATTAAAATAACTCCAGCAGAATATATGAGCATAACTTCATGTATTCTACTCATTAGCTCAGGTAAACATGGTCCTTGCCCCAGAGTAAGAGATTTTCTAAATATAAGACCATCAAGATCTTTTTCTTCAACCAAAGGAATTCTACATATTAGAATTGGTTATCTGGAAAGATTATAAAATGCCATTTTTCAAAATGGTAGGAAAAAAATTAACTCTGTTACTGGTTTGCCTCATAATACTACTCTTCATCTTAGAGGAAAGTTTCTGAATAAATATTCACAGCTATAATGGCAACAGGAGATTAGCACCACCTCCACTTTCTTCAAATAGGGAGTTCACTTCCTACTACACTGCACAACTGAATCAGAGGCCAAATCAGCACTAGCATCATTTGAGGATGAAGTATTGAAACAAGACACATCTCCATATCACTCTCTCCCCATTATTCCTAATGAGAAAATGTGAAAATACTTTACACTGCTCTTCATGAAGACGGCAAGGAGACAAAAAACTCTACCCAGTGAGTCAGAAATGCCTTTATCCTTTAAAAGGATTTCAGAAGGCACTTGAGGAATGTCAGCTGGAAGATGCCTCCATTCTCAATGCAGTGACCTAATCTCAACATTAGCAAAACTGGAGACTGGTCAGCTGTTTATACCTCCAGATGAGCAAGCAACACTAAAATATAGGTGTCTTCTAATACAGTATAAGGATTTTAAACTCTCTTTGAAGCAGTAAAACCTCATTTAAAATAATGTTCAAGAAAGGCATTAATGGCATAACGTGCCAGAAAGGCGTTTCTTAGAATATGTGTATTTGGGAAAGATGGTGTCTCACCTAAGGAAGAGCTGCTCTGAATAATCTCTCCCTGAAGCAGTTGCATTGCAGAAGCCTTTCAGTAACTGAATGTTTTACCCATGTGTGCCACAAAGACAGTCATTTTATAACAACTGCGGAAAAGATGGTATTTTAAATATTATGAAGTGTTTTGGGTTTTTTTTCTTTGTGTGGTTTGAGTGGTTGAGTTTTTTTAGAGGACTTAAACCTCATACAATACACTGACCTTATAAATACCCTTTGAATGAGAGTGGAAAACTACTTCCTCTAACAACAACTCAGCACCTTAACTACTTTATCTCATGGAAGTTTTCTTGCTATTTTACTTTGTATTCAGAACAAGATCCCTATTGTACAACCATAACCCACTCATCTGGAAGCAAGAAAGGTTATCACAGAGACCTTGGCCATGTTGGAGAAAGACTAGAAAAAGCAAGCTGGAATGAAAGTATTTTAGAAGTTACAGAAAAATGGAAGTTAAACATGATAGATTGCCAAAAAAGTTGAGCCTCTCTTTATATGTATTGCTGTACAATTGTTTTAATTGTTGATATTACAACATTGGACAATTCCATGTTCGAAAAGTCTTATTTTAGGCAATTTCCTCTCTTCCTATACACACAAGAGCCTCCTATGCTGAAGAGTAAGCTAAGCAAAAGAAATGTTTTTTTTTGTGAGGTCTGATGAATTTCCTCTGTCCAATACATTATCTTATCTGCAGATAAGTATTCCAAAGTCCAATACCAGCAAGAGAAAACAAAATACCTATTTAACTACTGCAACATAAAGTACAACATGTTTAACTAGGTTTTAAACTTCTAACGGTGTTTAAAACAATAATCATTTCTGTTCAATATTTGAGCACTCCTTAAACGTACCATCGGCACTTACAAGTGTCTATTCAGTTCTACTTAAGAATTAAAGCAATAATCAACAACCTAAAACTAAACTCAGAAGGACATCTTAATTTATGAAGCAGCTCATTTAAATCATTGCAATTCTCTAATTGGAGTACTGCAAGTGCCAAGACCTCTGCTTTTGAAATAGAATAGCACTGCAGAGGTCTGTGATTTTTTTTTTTAATGTCAATAATAAATTATGTATCAACAAAATCATTATGATTAGCAGACTAGTCAAGGCTATAACAAGAAGGACAACCACACAAATCAGTTGTGAAGAGATCACTTCAGGTTCCAGATCAGTGAAAATAAACTCATAGCACTCTCTAGACATAGCAAGTTTAGTAAAAAATGAAATTAAAACAAATACAGGGAGGAAGCTACAAACACATGTTTTCCTTTACACTTTGTGAAGCTTAAAGCAAAGCCGGAGTTTACGATCTAATCTTATGGAAAGAGCCTCCAACACACTCTATGTGAATTCACAGAAGATTCTTTATTAAATTTCCCATGCAAAACGTCAGTAATGCTGACTTTTATACTGACTAATATATACTTTATACATATACAATGCTCTACAGTTTTAGAAAACCCAACCAACCTAGCCATTAAGAGTATTTTATCAAATCTGGGAGAGCTCAGGCCTTATTCTAGCTCTGTCTAGAGGAATCAGCCACTAACAGTCATTTCAACAAATAACACATTTACCAGGGCAGAAAAAGAAATTACTACTTCTGTTTCATTCTCCAACCTGACAGTTATGAATGGACCAACTTTTAAGAAAGTTAAGTATCAGCATTTTACTGAATGATGGGATTTATCCCCACAAAGCTTCACAAAAGCACACTAATAAAACACACTCTAGCCTACAATCAATAGTTCTCCTAAACAGGGTAGAGATACAATCAATGTGAAGCAGAACCTTATCTAGTTTGAACAGAGGCAAAATCTGCCTCTAAAATCCTTAAGGCTACAGCATGTTATTAATCACAAACTTCACCCTCAAATTGAAGTCAGCAATAGTCACATCCAGAGCTTAAGAGCTCCATGTATTCCTACAGAGCCAATCTAACATTTAACTCAGATTTTTTCTTCTATTAAAAGGAACAAAAAGTCAGTATGCTAAAACTTGTCCTCTTCAAAGCTGCCACTAACTACTTGCTGGATAACAATTTCTCCCTTTCCTTCCTCTGTCCAAGAATATTCAATATGAATATACTATAACACACATATGCAAGTATATGGATATACTTTTATTAAGTATTTAAATTATTATTAATTGTAAATTGATTATTAATTATTATTTTATTAATTATTAAAACTACTAGAAGACTTTCTGACACCAAATGTGAAAAAATACAGCTACAAGTGTACTTTTGTATTTATTTTTGGTACAGTACACTCCTTCAGGAAATATTACTGTGGTCAGTTTCAAGTTCTGAGCTTAAAGGAAAAAAAAATGATGGCTGCATATCACCTTATGAAAAATCGAAAGAAAACCCAATTCAGAAATACTGATCATGTGAATCTGGATTGTCTAGGCTGGGCAATAACATTATGATGACCAGCTACCCAATGAAACAAGTTCTTCAGAAGCCTCATTTCAAATGATGTTGGCTTCAAAAGACTTCTGTCTAGCTTTTGCCAAAAAAAAACCTCACCAAACAAAAAACCCAAAGTTTTCTTTACATAGTGTTTTCAACTTTAATACTAAAGTGCCAAACTCACTTTATTCTCCAAGTAATACTTACTTCATTTCCATGTTTCTGCAGAAATTCTATTTCCTGTTGTGTGAACGTAGTCATTGAAATCGACTTCACTCTGTGGGGTGGATTCAAGCCCCGCCTGAAAGAAGAGAAAGGTATTCAGCATTTGGGAAATTTACCATCATACAATAATGTTTAACACTACAGCTAGAAGTCAGTCAGTTTTAAAATCAGGAGCCATCTCTCTCTAAAGCACACTCATTCTTGGTACTGCCATACAGCTTAAGGCTGTGTAAGTGCTTCTCAAAGTAACACTCAGTGTACAAAGCCAAATAATAGAAATTCAGGGGAGACCAATATTCACAAGCGCTCATGCAAAGTCACTCAGGCACATTCTACGCAAATTTAAGAAAAGAAAATTAGACTTTTTTTTAAATCCTAATGTGCTTCACCCTTGCCTCTCTTCAGTTGTAGTTTCCTTTCCCTCCAACTCCTTCCCGACTTTGATCTCTTATTACAAGTTCTACACAGCAACTAGATTTCTTCAAACTAAACTGCTCAGCTCAGTATTTTTTGCTTGCTTGAACCTATATTTCCTGTTTCCTCACAGTATCTTTTTATAGTTTACTTTTTGCCCCTGCACAGGGGCTTACTCCTCTTCCTGAACACTACAGAAGTAACCACAACAAAAACAAAAATACACTGGTTTTAGTGTGCTCTCAAATGAGAGATACCATTGCTAATGCCACAGCTCCAAACATGAGCAGCTCTGCCTTAAGCCCAGATTGGCACCACTCTCACACCCATGCCAGGCTGCTGCAGCAGCCCCAGCAGAACACCGGGCATTTGTGCTGCCACAGCCTGACATTGTCAAACCCAGCTCAGTCACAGCCTGCAAGCACAGAGAGAAAACATGCTGAGCAACAGCATCAGGGTAAGAAAAAGTTTGCTTTCTTTTCCAACTCCTTCTTTAAATAAATGCTAACTACTGCTTTTGCCCAGAACCTCTTCAAACCCAAGCTGGGATTTGCCCAATGGATGCAGGAACATCCCATCCCACATGTGCCAAGGAGTGGAGACACTCACCCAGAAATACCAGGGGTCAGTTTAACACTCAGGTTAATCAGGCCTGGATCTCCGAAATACCATCTTAAGAAGCAACTAATATACATTAACCATGAGCTATCACAGCACATAAAAAGCTTTCCAGGAATGTAATAGACAGCTAACAAATCGCTAAGAAACTCAACTGATAGCTGTATTGCTTGTATTTGTCCCTACACTTTTAATTCTAAATTTGGTTCAGTTTGCTTTTAAGAATAAAAATAAAATTAACAACACCGACATCTAATTTAGGACAGCCAGTGGTTTTCTTTAAACTACATGATTATCCCAAGAGTATTAACTATAAATTAAATTGTTATTCATCAGAACAGCCTATGACAAAAATCAGATATTCCAAATACTAACACTATGTTCAACTTTGGCAGAAAAATTTTAGCACTTCCAAGTTTTCCAAGTAAGTCTAATGGGAAAAATACTGTTGTGCATTTACATTAGAAATTCACCTTCACATCTAAATTCAGCTGTACCCATAAGACAATTCTGATCCTGTTAAAGAACGCCACATTTTTAATAAGAAGTTGAATATGGGTTACAACATGAAGCAGTAACATTTTAATAAAAGTTACCAATTTAACATCTTTCATCTAGCTGTATCATCTACATCACAAATAAATTACATTTATTAAAATACTATAGTATTACCTAAGATTTTTTTTTAAGTGAGTACTCATTTTAAGATGATGTAATTTAAAAGAAACCTGTAGGAGCTCCATGCAGTTAAAATTAATTGTTTCAGATCTGGTGCTAGGATTAGGTTTTGTTCATTTTTGGCTTTTAAAAGACACACCTTCTCAGTCTGTACATGCAAGTAATTACATTTCACTAAATAGCACTTGTAGCATCACATATTGAGTGACAGCATAGAAACAAAGTTGGCATCCACCTGGCATTTCACATAGATCTCCTCCATCAAATGTTATATGACAATTACTGTCCCTTGCTTTTACAGTAAGTATAAAAGCAGTTCTGTCTGCCTTATCCTGTACCATTTACTCTTCTCCTAGTAATTACAAATAGCAGCACAATTAGGTAGTTGTAAAGTATTCAATGACTATTTAAAAGCCACAGCTATTCACTAACACATACACATGTTTCTCAGCACAGGCAGTATATCTCAACTTTCCCACTAGCTCCTGCTGGAAATTCCTTTTTGCAGTAAGTACAGTTTAGGTGCTCTGTTGTACCTGTGTTTGCAATTTCAAGGCACTGCACAAGTTCTTTAAGATTTACCTACTCCACACTGATCTACCAGGGCTCTTCAGAGCATTTGCAGCAGCAAACACTGCTATCTTCAGCTCTATTAAATAGCAATTTTAAATGTGGTTGAGGCCTAGATAAGATTTTGTTAAATCTCACCAGAGACTTCCTTCATGCCTCTCTCTCCAGTGAAGAGTTCAGACATATAAGGTTTCCTGATTTACACACTATATCCACATGGGATAAGAAGAATTCACATTTCTCTTACACCAACCTGCTAAAAGAAGGAAGGCAACCCTCCTAAAGATCAGATCACCATACAGAGGTGTCAGATGTCTGGCAGGATGAAAGAGAGCACAGCACCACGTCAGTGGTCCTGGAGTATTGGAAATTCTGAACAGAACTTTAACAGCCATAATCTAAAGTAAACTATAAAGCTGCAATAAATACTGTACATTCAAGTATTTATGTCCATTGAATATGGCAAAGGATGCAGGGAACCTATGCAAAGCTTCCTCTTATGCTACAGCAGCCTAAGAAGTCAGCCCTGAACAAGGAATTCAAGACAAGACGATAAACACAAACACAGCCCAAGCATTATCTTCCTTAGATAAATTACTTTAGTTCTACCATTAGAACAGCAAACTCTCTATTTTTTTTTTATGATTTCTAACATCCATTAATTGCCTGGAATTTCCCTAAAACAGAGCAGTTGTGCAATTTTTGAAACAGGATTCAAGGACCAAGCCTTCCTTACCTACAGAGACTATTTAATGTCCCAAATGATTCACAAACACCTCATCTACATATGGGGGAAGCATATTGGTAGACAGCCAAATACAATTATCCCTTATGAGGAATTAACAAATCCCCTTTTTCATAGGAAAAAATGTTTCTTTCCTAGTATTTGACAAGTGTTTCATGCAGTTCTAATGCTTTACAGTACTCCCTATTTAACAGGGGACAGAATAGATTACAGTCCCTTAGTGTAAATTATCCATGCCTAAATTTAAATTGACCCTGAAGAAGTATTTGCAACCTGCCCTGTGCAGCAGTACTAGTTCCTCCCTTCCCTAGAACAGAACTCCTGGGAAAGCAGCAACCAAACAGTACCTCAGCACTAAAACCAGACTGCAGCTCTCTCCTCCCAAGAGGCCCTGGGGAAGGATGACAGAGTAAGACAATTCTGCCATCTGCACTTATCCAGCACACCAGAGCTAGAACATCCCACACAGAGATCCCACTCATCACTGCCAACTTCTTCACGCTCAGCAACGATTATTTCTGTGGAAGAGCACTGTGACCAGAGATTCCAGCCCGGAGAGTCTCCTCCACTGACCCTCACTGAGTCACAGCTTAGCATAGGGGCAGCTTCAGAGAACATGAGACCTCTGTTCTCCAGAGGGCATTGTTAAACTGGTGCTCTCACAAACAAAGGAAGCTTTAAGGCCACTGACACAGGATTCTGCAGTCTGGCAGTAGAAACATTAAACATTCAAAACACAGTCAACAAGCAGTGGATATTTGTTTCTAACATAATTTAGCAGCAAATTATAGTTGAACTTGTGATTGTTGGCAGAGCAGCCGACTGCAAAGGCTAGGGCTGGGAGGGGAGCAAAATGTGAAGTGAGCCCTGGCAGAACAGAGGAACCCTTTCGTGGGAGGAATGGCGGGCAGACTGCTGCTCAACACTGCTAATGTCCGTCCTCTGGATCAGATTTTAACACCATCTCGAACCTAAGCCAGCAAAATCTGATCCCCTAAAATGCAAGAAGTTAATGAGGCAAGTCAAATACCGAGCCATCACAGAGCACCCTACACACCCAGATGTCCACAAAACAAGCACTAGAAAACCCAATGTCACAGCATTCATTATTATTTGTGCTACTGTAATTAGCAAAAAGGAATAGAAGCAGCACTGGCCATTCCTGGTACTTGTAGACCTCCCTGGAGACCCTCCGCCATCTCACAGGCTCATTTATTTTTAATAGCAGACGACTCATACACAGATTTTGAAGCAGAGTTAAGGTTAATTTAGGTTTTTTCTTAAAAAATAACCAAACATTCTTTCTGAACTGCATAGTGTTCACTGTGGTATAGACACATTTCCTTTGCTCTCCTGCCTTGCAACTGAAAACAAGAAATACAGTAACACATAAAATACCCTTAAAATATATATATACACACAGAGAGACTCAGAACACATGGAGTCATTTTCCAAACATGCTCCAAAGGAAAAAAAGGACTGAAAAGTCATGCCAACTCAACCACCTTCACTCTAGCACTGTTTATTTAAACTCTTTTAATTTCTGCTAAACTTCTTCTAGGGAAAGCACAAGAACTTATCACCAGTACACAGAGAAGTTATAGTTTGATACTGTTTGTTGATGGCAGTCTATATATCTGCCATCAAATACTTCTATCTGGCTGATACAAAAGTCCCCTACCCATGAAAATTTTAAATTTCAACTAGGAGCATTATGAACACCCAGAAGAAGGCCAACAGTTGTAAAAAAATAGTATAAAAGGGCTTTAGCATTTCTCAAAGTACCTATTATGCTCTAAACATTCCTCATTGCTGAACAAGAGATTTTCATGTAAGTTGGGCAGGAGTTAAGAGGGCAGTGAGAGAAAGGATAGGAGTGCCTTAATTATCACATCAGCAGGTACAAAAAAGAGTCAAAATTAAATAAAAAAATTACATAATATAAAACATGTGCAAGCAGACTGTTAAACAGGGATGTTTTCTGTTGGTGAACTGAAAAACATGTTCTTTTTATCAAACTTGGAAGCGGGCTGACTGCAAGTGCTACAGAATTACTTGAAAGCAGAGATGTACAGACAGCTGAGATACAAGGCAGAGAGACATTTGATAAGACAAAGGGAAGGATGTCACTATCAGCAGGCCACATGGGAGCATCCAGGAAAACAATAGTCATAGCTACCAACATAATCCTTTGAATCAAAGGACTTCTGTCAAACCAAAATAATCTCCCTGCCAACATTTCCCAAGATACAGGTTTGCTGTAATAAAGAGAAATCTTCCTGTGGTGTAATCTTGACCTGAGCACACTGCTCCTCTATACATCTCCTCCCACTGTCGGGGCAGAAATTGTGTATAATTCCACATAGCCTATATTGTACAACACGAAAAATCTGAATTAACTTGTGTGATTGCTACCACACTTTTTTTGCCCAAGTGAAGAATTTAAACACAGGGGACAAGCGGAACTATTTTAAGAGAAAGGAAATTCACACCACTGTGCATGAACTTTCTCCTACATGTGCCACTTTGCACAGCAAAACTTCTGCTCTGGTAAGCCTGGTACTACGGAAAAAAACCTCCTGTCATCCACACTTCTGACTTGACAAGACTCACCTTCAACATTAAGTCAGAAACAGATCTTTTTAGCAAAGCCACTAGTTCTGTCGCTGTTTTTAGCAGCATATGAAAAAGCTAGACATACTATTTTGGGAAAGAGTAGAGGCAATAGTAGGTTTTTAAAGCTAAATCTAGTAATACATAGCATCACTCTTTTGATACATGTGAAATACTTAAAGGAAATTCAGGATAGATCCAGAATAAGATTCTGGATGTGACTAGACAGTCCTCGCCAGGACAATGAATAAACACTTCAGAAAACTAGTAAAAAAAGTTATACTACAGTTTTAAAGAGTTTAGAGTTAACTGTATCTAGAATAACATGCTTATTGATGTTAGCAATCACTTTTAATTATTTGAGAAAACTTTCTGAAGGAGACTTTTTAATCTACTAGTATTTTAATCTTGCATTGGGCACTTCATACTTGAAAAAACTAGTGTACTTGACTCCAAGAATATTTCCTGTACCAGAATAGAAAAAAATAATTATAAAAAGAAGCCATGCAAGTCATTCACACAGCATATAAACAAGATAAAGTACTAAGATTATTAAAACCTTACAGTAAAGCAAGTACTGTGAGGCAGAACGCAAACAGCCATTAAGAACTACAGAAGCAGCACTACTTTTATATTTGCCATTATGTTGTTTGTTCCCAAGTCATTTCCCTACACTGTGAAATTCTACAGTGAAAAGCATTTGGAAATAAACAAGTTGTTTGAAGAACTGCTCTGACAGAAGTGTTAAAAATAAGTTTCTAGTTATGAAAAAGACACAATCTATACCAAGTCTCATCACTAACAAATGAACATGCCACTGCAGAGGTCATAAGGTGTTAACCAATGCATATGATCCTGCACACAATCTATGGAAGTTCCAAGCTGACATGAAAGAATGAGTCCAAATTTATTTTAGAGGGAAACTTTAAGTCCTCTTAATAGTAATTTACTCCAGCTGTAAGTGTAGGTGTTACTAGCTGTAAGAACCAAACACATCGTATGTGGTTGCTTTTTTGTAACAAGACAAAAATACTGCATATTTAGAATGAAAAAACCATTTGCATTTTATCGGAATACTAATACATTAACCATGATTTTGTGGACAGTCTTCCTCCTTTAAGCATGGTAACATCCAAATGATGGCCAACACCAAGTGGCAGCTGTCCCCTGCTTACGAGCTGTTTCACTGCTTCTACATCCTTTTGGTTGCTATAAACTGGACTACGTTAGTAGTCCATACCCCCAGCCAACAGATAAAAGCAACAGACTCTTCTGAACCCACGCTAGGCATCTCAGCAGCATTCACAATATATTGATCTATTAAGGTTAAGAAGCCTGAAAAATAAAGAAAACACTCTCATGGGTGCAGCTTTACCACACATTCAGTTTAACCCAGTAAGAACATGTGCAACCATTAAATGCAGTAGCTTAAAATAGTTTCACATGCCAGCACAAATAACAGTTTGCTAAGAGAGCAAACAATAGCCAGAGCTAGCTGACTGAGTGGCATGTTTGTGTGAAAAACTAGAGTCTCTTTTCAATTTCACAACCTAAATGTATTTTCTGTATTTGCATGAAGTCTGTTCAGAAGCCTACATAAAGTAGAAGAACTCCAAGTCTAATTAGCTGTCTATTAGTATAAAAGGCAGTTTGTTCCATGTAAATTCAGCAAAGAACTAATACAGTTGCTTTGCATTTCAACATAATTACCAACTTTGTTCTAAAACACAAGACCTTACTTGGAAGGGCTTTCTGGGGTAGTAAAGGGACAGAAATTAGTTCAGGGTTCTGAATGCCTTTTAGAAACACCAATCTGTATCCTCTAACATACTATCTATTACTTTGGTTACTGTGATTCTGCTCCATTCCATTAGCACAATGCTACAGAATCGTATAAAAGCAAACAGGATGTAGCTAAAGAGACAGCAACACTGAAGCCAGCAGGGTCTTTCCCACAAATTATGGATATGCGACTGAAATTCACAACTGACTGACCTCAACTCTTAGTTTCATACACACTATCTCTGGGAAGGATGGGTGGAAAAGGGAGGAGTTGTATGAAGGCCCACACAGGAATGAGGAACAGGAAAAATGCAATCACTTTATCAGAGCCAATCCCTTTCCAAGGTTTATATATATCGTTTGTAGGAAATAGTCGATGTAAAGTCAAAAAAACCCAACCAGCTTCTACTTTTCTGATCAAGTCTCTTAAACCATTGAGGCTGGAGTTCACAGACTGAGACAGAGCTTAAAGGGTTGTTTTACAAACTACCACCAAGCAGAACTCGATGCACATAAAGCTATGCTGGTGGTTTAACTACGTTTAAGTAGTATCTGTAAACGCATTCACGTCAGGGTTAGTATCCCCGCATCTTCAAGGCTGTCATGACAGGGAACTGTTAAGCCACGTGCCCCTTCCCTTTCCACAAGTATTGTGGCACACTTGCTAAATTAACCACCCCCCGACAGGCCTGTGGGGTGGCGGTGCTCCGGCTGCCGTGCGCGCTCCCCCCACGCGGAGGAGCCTCCCCAGGATCACCTCCGGGCCGCGGGGCCGCCGTCAGCACACCCTGCCAGCGGCGGCCACCTCCGCACCGGGGCTCCGACGGGGATTCCCAGCCTCCCGCCGGCCTCCCTCCCTTCCCGGGAGAGCCCCCCGCCCGCTGCCCTCCGACGTGGCCAAGCCGGCAACAGGAAGGCGAGCGAGGGGAGGCGGCGGCGCTGCGAGAGCCGCGGCGGGGCTGCACCGCCCGGCCGCCGCCGCCCTGCGGACGCGCGCCCCGGCGGCCGGGGGCGGAGGTCACCGCTGCCGGGGGATGGAGCCGGCCGTCCCCTCCCGCACTCACTCACAGGATGCCGGAGCAGGAGGTGCACACGAAGCTGCCCACGGTCATGTCGGTGTAGGTGGGGCCCCGCTGGTCGCAGTCGAAGCACTTGCGGTTGGGCGGGAGGCTGCTCATCTCCCGCAGCAGCTTCAGGTGCTTCTCCTCCTGCTTCCGCTTGGCGCTCGCGGCCATGGCCCCGCCGGCGAGGGACGGCCCGGCACGGCGCCGGGCCCCGCTCACACCCCGGCGGCGGCGGCGCTCCGGGGCTCGGCCGGCGGGAGAGGGGCCGGGCGGGCGGGGGGGTGAGGGGAAGACAGGGGAGGAAGAGGCGGGGAGGGCACAACCGGCGCCTGCCGGGGGGCGGTGCGAGAGCGCGGTGGCCGCTGAGGCGGACCGGCGGCCCCGCGAGGGAGCGAGCGGTTCGGGGGATGCGGCGGCGGCGGCGGCGGCACCGGGCCCGGGGCGGCGGAATGACGAGCCCGGGCGGAACCTGCGCGACACCTTTATGAGCTCAGCGAGGAGATGGCGGCGGCGGCGGAGCCCTGCGCGCCCGCCCGCTGCAGCGCCCCCTGCCGCGGGGGAGGGCGCACTGCACCCCGGCTCCTCACGCCGCGACCCCGGCCCGGGGCGGCGCCCCCGGCGGGGCCGAGTCACCCCGCGTGACCCGGCGGGGCGGGGGCCGGTCCTGTGGAGGATCCCGATGTAAAAATATCAATAAAAGTGAGTGCAGTTAGACTTTCCTGGGGGAGGGGGGATCGCCTCCCCGCGCAGCGGGGTCCTCGGGGCGGGCTGTTCCCGTCACACCGCGGGCTGAGCGCCAGCAGCCCCGCCGCCCCTCAGCCCCTGTGGGCAGCGGCTCGGGCCGGCTGGGGAGCGCGGGAGCGCTCCGTGGGAGAAGGACACGTGCCGTGACACCCCAGCGCTGCCGGTGTCCCTCTGTGCGCCACAAGTCTGGAAATGCAGTCACGGAGCGTGGCGAGAGCGGAGGCGCTCCCGGTGCCGTCGCCGCTTTGCTCCCGCTCCCAGCCCCGTGCCCGGGGCTCCGGGCGGCGGGGATGAGCCGGGGACCGGCTGCCGTGAGGATCCCGAGGGTGGATTGCGGCAGGCTTCGGATCTGCGGGGAGAACACCCCCACGGGGTCTGGCTGTCTTGGGACGGAGGTGAGAATGCAGTTTTCCTTTGGGAATGTCGTGCCCGGCTGGCCGTTCCCCCATCAGGAGAGAGCGGAGCCAGCAGTCACGTACTTCTGATACCCGAGCGGAAACCCTAGTTCAGCCCCTGATCCACAAAATACGAGTTTGCGACGCACAAAGCTGCCTAACGGAATACTTTTCAACAGTGTGCGAAGTCAATGTTTTAAAAAAAGTCAATGCACTTTATATTTAAGTGATTTCTTTTACAAAACACCCAAGCAACACTATGTATGATTAAAATCTGTTAAGGTTTAATGATTGCCAATACAATGTATTTAGGGTCAAGTTTTGTGCCCCTGACGTCAGTGCACATAGGAGCAAGATCTGATCCACTGTATTTTCCTCATAGCTTTAGTTAGAAATCTAGGACTAGGTGTTCAGCATCAGTAATCTGTCCTTCCTCTTCTTATTCCTCTGGATGTGCTATGTGTGAATTTACATGAGCTGATTAACGAGTTCTAAGTTTTAAACAAAGAAGTCAATGCTCTAATTTTTTTCGTAGTATGGATAGCAGGAACTGTTCAAACTGAAAAATAAACATCACTAAATAATCACCAGTGCTTAAGTAGCATTCTTAAGAGTAAACAGGATATATTTCCAGTCTTATAAGGACCAAATTCTCACTACTTCCTTTAATTTTTCACTTCTCTATGAAATGCTGATATTCTCATTATTCAGAAGGTTTCATTTATTTTGCCTTTTATGAAATACACTAACATTGTACCTTTGCCAATGACCTAAATGATCTAAAGCAGATGACCTAAATTGAGAAAAAAAATTTCAAGGTTAAAAAACAGATTGTTGTTTGTTCCTGGAAAATCCTTTGGAGAGCAGTGATTGGCCACACACCTGCTGCAGCAGAGAGTTGCTCCATGCAGCCAGGTTTTGTTTCAACCAGAGTCAAAGGTGGTTTGTAACTGAAGCAGGAGCAAGCAGCTTCAACTGCTCGTGTCACGACTGAACTCATGTGAATGTCACACAGGAACAGCTGCTGATAAAAACATCACTGTCATTGACATTGTCATTGTCAGTAAAATGTGGAACTGAGCTCCCAGGGAAAATCCTAGCACTGTTTAAGTCAATCAGAAAGTTCAGTAGGAATCCTATGACTCCAGTTTGCTTTTTGAAGGAACAATTCTGCCATTATTCTGGTGTTTGATAAGCCTATTGAGCCAAGATGGGTTTACACTAGTGGATGAATTACCTATGTTAAAATTAATGTAAATTATTTTCATAAATACCACGCTTCTCCATTCTGTATCTTATAGAGCAAATTTACCCCAGGAAACTACAGAATAAGACTTCAGGGGTGTGTGAGGATACACTGAGTTACAAATGAGATCTGTGGGATTTGGGTTCTTCCAGAGTCTGTGGCACACCTGGGGCTCCTACAATCAAGCATCTAAAGCTTACCCTCCTGTTTCTATTAGGAACCAAAGGAATACAAGGCTCTAAGTATAACTGTGTGTAACACTGTTGACACGTACAGATCTCAAAACCGGCTACAGTAACTTCCAGCCCTGTTTCATCTCCCCACAAGCAAGAACGGAACTTGTGCTCCTCTTCCACTCCTGTTTTTTCTATTTTTTCTGCTCACAGCTAGCATTAATTCCCTCAAATCAGCTGGTCTGGTGTTTTCTCTAAATCACTAAAGGAAAATATCCACAAATAATACACATGAATAAGAATGCTTCTCTTCAGTTTTACCCCTGGATTTTCTTTTTCATTACATATTTTTCTTTTTCTCTACACTAGAACCCGAATTTCCTTTCCTGCAGCTTCTCTGTCCAAATTTGTTCTTCATTCTCTCTTTCTAATGACCAGACTTCTGCAGCTGGAAATATACTGGCCAGCTGTTTATTCCAAAAGTGCTTAATCCCTGCTGCACCTGCTCCTGCTTTTAACATTAAAATTAATTTCTTAACAAGAGGTATAACAATTCTTTTCTTATGCTTGCAACATTCCTCTTTACATACAAAACAGAATTTAATATTCCAGTCATGGGAAATAATATCTGAAAGATGTTGCTTCAGTAAGCTCTTAAATATGGCCCAATACCGTATAAATTATAATATACAAGCACATAATCTAGTGGATTTATTGTCAGGACCAAAAGAAACAAGACTCTAAGAATGTACATTTGGGAGATGAATAAGACATTCTCTGTTTGCCACTAGGATTGAGGTCAATAATATCCACTTTAAAGCAATTAACCCAGCAGGATAAGCGACGTGAAAATTATCATGCTGAAAGGCTAATGGGCTATTAAATCCATCTTCCTTCACCACTGATGGGCATACAGAATTAATCCTGGGATTAGGTATATCGGATCGGGGGTAAACTGCTACCTCACTTCATATTTGTATATGAAGGGTTTTCTGAAAATGCTAGGAAAGAACACAGCCAGAACCTTCACTGATATGCTCTATTCAAGGGTCAGTCCACTGAGCATAAATTAGTGTGTCTGTGCCTGGCCTTATTCAAGCAGTAGCTTTTTATTAATGAATAGATACATTTTGGGAAGAGATCAGAACAAGAGAAAGTCACAGTAATGGTTATATAAATCATGCTGCCTGTTGACAATTATTTAAATCTGGACAATCCAATGCAAGAAAATGGTCAGACAAATATGATTGAATTATCTTTACTTGCAATGCATTATCTTTACTTGCAATGCATTTCCCTTGGACATTTCCCACCCACTGCTATGACATTAACACAGTAAGAAAAGGTAAATGATGGAAAGCTCTGCCTTTACCCTTAACAGCTGTGAATAAGAAACTGACCTCTAATAAAGAGAAAGGCACAGTCTCATCAGCTTGGGATTTTTGTATTCTAATTTTTGTATTTCTATTCGGCCTGTATTTTTTTAATGTCATCTTTTATTTGTGTGAAATACACCTAATTCATCTGGAGTAATATGGGGTAGGAAATGATTTTCAGTCACTATATGATTCTGTTCCTGCTTTCTAGATTGGCCAGTGATGATGAAAGGTTATCAATATTTCAACCTTGCCCCTTTATATGACACAGTTCTTGCATTTCCATCGTGCCTTAAGTGCACAAGATCATATTCCAGTTTGTAATCACAGACTAGGCAGTGGAAAGAACATGTCTATACACAGTTGCAGTGTAGGCAAAAGATCTGTCATAGGAATGAATATCTTGTATGCAAGGCAAGTGCATTTAATTTTTAAGTTCATCTTTACAGTACATTTATTTTTAGAGTATGTGCCAATGTTTCTATTACTGTTTTTTGTTTTGTATTGGTTTATATTAATCTATAAAACCCTGTAGTTTAATGATGTTTTATAGGCTGTCACAGAAGTTTTGGTAAAATTATTGTTTCATGCATCTTTTCAGAGGAACATGCCAGAGGAGAGTGAAACCCTTTAAACCACAGAGTATATTCACAATTGATCCTCTTGCAGCAGTAGAAATGTAATGGTAAGTCATAAAATATCTTACATTTCCTGGAACATCCCACAGGAATGTTGGCAATACACAAGGCAGCCCAGAGTCTATGAGTAGAAGAAAGAAGTTGTGGAACTGATATGAACAAAATGACAAGGATGCAAAAAAAACCCAGCTTTTGGACACAAATGTGAAAGACAGTAATGGTGGTAAGATAGTTAACTCTTCAACTCTCTTGGTTCTAAATTGGAAGGAGAGACAGAGTCTAAACAGACATCTAAACCCCAACAGCTTCTGTAGTATTTGGCTACATAAAGTACTGAACCAGGAAATGCTCTCCCAGCTCTCTGAGCAGGAACAACTTAATTTTCACATTAAAGTTTAAAGACTTAAGTTATTTCTTGACATAGAAATGAGATTTGTATTTAAAGCCCAATGTATTTTGAAGTTCAGTTCTTCAGTACCTTTTCTACTTGATGATGAGCATTTCCTGCCTGTTTTCTGTAAAACTCCCGTGGGAGTGAAGAGAGGCCTTTGTTGCTTTCCACTAATGAATCTAAATTATTGATTAGTCAGTCTAATTTGTGGAAACTGCTATTGGTTAGTGCTGTCTTAGAAGTGCTTTAGATGGGGCAAAAAGAAATACAGGTAATTTCAAAGAGATCTTCAG